CCACCCCTAAAACCACGTGCCCAAATGACTGGGCTTGGTCTTCAGCCTACCTTGGCGTCTGCTTCCAGGGAGACCAGACTGTTCTGGAGAGAAGGAAGTCTGTCTTTCTTCAGGTTAGGAGTCAGAATAACTGACGTATTTGTCCTTCCTTCCTGTCAAGTGCAGGGCTGAAGCTGTACACCTTAAGCCCGCCCTGAGTGCCGCTGTGGCTACCCCCACATCACTGAGAAGCCAGGAAACAAAGCTGCCCCCAAACCACAGCCAGGGGCTCTGTATGCCAACAGCTGACATTTTAGCTGCAGGAAAGTCCAAGCTGTTGTTGCTGGAATGTTTCCTCCCTGCCAAAGAAGCCCCAGCAGAGACTAGAGGCTTCGGTAGCAAACTTTCCCACACCTGCAAGGGATTTCACACTGACCTCAAGTGTGAATGATTAACATCATCTCAAAGAACAGCTGCTAGCTCAAGACTGACTTATAACAACAGCCAGTGGGTGCTAAGACAAATCACAACTGCCGCTTGATAAATTTACCCCGAAGGAACACAGCCAACCATACACACAGAACTCTAGCACCTTCCCAGAAGCCCTCGTCCGCCCCTCCCACTGACCGCCTCCCCCCAGTGACAGCTGCTATCCTGGCTTCCAGCACCACCCATGAGTCTTCCTATGTTTGCATTTTAGATAAATCGCACCGGAACTATTTTGAATCTGGGTTTTTTTGTTCCACTTGTTTCTGAGATTCCTCCACACTGACACATGCGGTCACAGCTTGTTCATTCTCGCGCGGTTGTATTTCATTGGCGAGTACATAAAAATGTATTTATCCGTGCAGGGTAAGGTAAAAAATCAGGCTTTTCTGCCCTCCCGCCATCAGGATAGATGAGGGAACCCTGTGATCCTAGAGCATGCCTGAGGGCGGCCACCTGAAGTGGAGAGCGGGCACCTGGAGTAGGGTGTGGGCCTAGGTAGATGGGATTCAGCTGAGCTAAGACTGTGCTTTTTAAGGGAGGCATCACGGGGACGCCAGTAGACGCCGAAAGAGAAGAAGCCCGAAGCAGAAGCAGAGAGAACGCCAGAGAGCCCAGATAGAGTGAGGATTTGCTGGGGGCTGGGAGGCCTTGCCAGCCTCCCGCCCCCCAGCACCCCTGCCTGCCACGTACCCCCTGAACCCCAATAAAAACCTGCAAAACCACTGAGGACTCTGACTCCTCCTTTACCTGGTCTGCATGGGATCAGAAAACCTGCACTGTGTCCTGTTCCTGTCCTTATAATCTGATAAATCGCATTAGTCATAGTTCAGGGCTATTACAAATACCGAAAGTATTGATATGAAACTTTTTGTAAAGTTTCTTAAATATTGGTGTGTTTCTGGTGGTTACGTGCCTATGAGCAGAACTGCCACGTCACCGGTGAGCCATTTATTCAGTGTTAGAGGGTGCTGCCCAAGTTTTCCTAGCAGGTGCACTAGCTCACAACGGTACCAGCAACTGTCTCATGGCTCACGCCCCCAGCAATGCGCCAAAGCCTTTCCGACCTTATCCACTCCAGAGGGTGATGCTGTGGTATCAGACCTGAATTTTCATTTCCCTGATGTTTTAGGGTCCTGTGAGGTAGGTGTTTAGGGGCCATTTGGAATCTACTATGATGTAGGGCTTGTTCAAGGCTCAAGTCTGGGCTTGTTCAGGATATCTGTTTTTCTGTTATGGACTTGTAGAAGTTCTTTATATTTTCAGGATATGAGTCCTTTATCAGATATTTATATTATGGCTCTCTTCTTCCACTCTATGGATTTTTTAAAGTACTTTTTTCTAACATTGTTGTTAAATTTTGCACAGTATTTGATTTCTCCCCTCAGGTATAATATCCATAGTTTTCCCACTACCACAGCACCCGTGATCCATCACCACAGTCTACATAGCTATGGATTTTTTTTAATTCCTTCAATGGGCCCTTGGCTCATAGACAGTCACCTTTTTGTAATCTCTCTGTGCCTTAATCTCCTCTTCTTCTAAGGCCATCAGACACAGTGGATTAAAGCCTGTGCAAATGACCTCATTTTAACTTAATTACCTCTTTAAAGCTATTTCTAGGCATAGAATGTCACATTCTGAGGTGGTTAGGATTTCAATGTGAGGAATTGGAAAGAACACAATCAGCCTAAAACAGTGGGATATACTAAGAAAAATCAGAACTTATAGTTAAATTTATTTTTAAAGCAAAAACTGAAACTTTATTAATGCTTTATAAGTGGTTCGTAATCAAGTCTATCATAGTTGAAAGCAGCATGCCCTTGGGATCCCAGCTTAAAAGTTCCCACAGGAAGATATAATTACAGAGGGTGGGGATGCCTGCCCTAAGGTTTCAGCCTGCAGTGGACAGCAGGGAACAGCTGGCAAAGGCAGGATATACTGGGTGTTGATCTGCAAATTACATCATAGCTGAAACTAAAGCGAGGTGACACAGGCTGACCTCGGGATTAGAGCAAATAGTAGTGGATGGGGGGAGTGGGCAGGTTGACAGATGGGCAAAGACACAGTGAATGTGATAAATCGCCCAGGGAAACCTTCAGGATGCTGTGTGCAGCAGGTGTGGCTCCCCTCCTTCCTAGGTGTCCCTGCACTATCTGGTAAGTTCTATGTCCACTGATGAGCAACCCCTTCCTGGTCAGCATTCAGGCCACATTGCCTCTTCCTTGATAGCTCTCAATGACTCGAGCCAGCTTGCTCTATCAGCTTCGTCCCAGCCTGGAGAAGACATGGGGCAAAGCCACAGCAGAGTCTCAATGGTCATGCAGTGGGAATGACAAATGCATCTCTGCTGTCATCAACCAACAGTCTAGCTTCGTTTGTTTCTGCAGCTACTTTAGCCTATGCCTGTTGATGCAGCATTTTTTTTTTAAATATACACAAAACTGGGCCTCCCTGGTGGTGCAAGGGGGTAAGACACAACCTATGAAGTTAACCGCAGCCACTGCAAGCACGAGTTGGATCCCAGCCAGGGAGCTACCCACATGGTGCAGCGGACCTCTCCTGACTCGCCCGCTGCTCCCCTCAGCAGTGTATTTCGGTCCGTCTGTCTGTTCTGCTCCCCGCTCTGTCTCTGGTGAATCCTCTCACCCTCCCGCACCTCTGGCCTGTAACCCAGCTATTGTATAAGTAAAAAAAAATCTTTAAAAAATAACATAAAATATACACAAAACTGATCAACTAATAAAGACTACAGAATGAACATCAATGAGTCATAATAAGTGCCAATTGGTGACTCCTGTTGGATCATAGCAGTGGTGTCCCAGGAAGGGGTGGGAGTTGCCAGGATCGGGAGGAAGAGGAACCCAAGGCTCAGCTCAACAGAAATTTCCAATTGGTGCTCAGGTATCTTGGTCTTATAGTGCCTGTACTTTCCAGCTGACAGCAGACCTAAGTACAGGCATTTCTTAGATAATTTCTTAGTACCTAAGTTCTCAGCACCAGACTCTCTAGGTTTGTGTCAGCCACAAGTTTATGTTCCACTGCAGTATTAAATTCCTCAGAGTTGAGTGTTTTAACGTTGCCATCTTTGTTGTTTTCTGCTGCTGCTGGCGATGATGAAGACTGACTTAGCTTGGCTCCGTGGCTCAGCTCAGCAACGCGCTCCCTAGACACAGGGAAAGGAAGAAATCTCGAACATCCACACGGCTGGAGTCGGCGGTCGGTCATAGACAATGGCGTGAGACCCAGCTGTGGCTGTTGATATCATTTGCCGAGGTGCAGTCTCTGAGATTATAAGGCCACACTTGCTAAATACAGGTGTTGGCAACGTCAGTCTCAGCAACATCTGCCAATCTAACTCTGATCCTCACACTGGGAAACAGACCTAAGATTCACTCCATCCGATCACCGCACAGAAACTCAACCTTGTTCTAGACTATGGCTGCACACCAGTGGTTATGTGCCTGCGCTCCTCTACTCCAGTGCTTCTGATGACGTTCATTCTTGGGGTGCTGGACACGGCAGCTAGTGCACTGGCAAATGCACAGGCCCCTAAACTCCTCAGCCCTACAGTGTTCCCCATGTGGGCAGAGAGCAGAAAGACCGCATCACAGGACCATGACAACGCAAATCCCACTTACAGAAATTCATTTTTTAAAACTTTCCATAGAGACCACACTTACTCAGCTTTGTAGTGTCAGGTGCAGCTCAGAGGCTGACACAAAGCAATTTGTGTGTGGGGAATAGTACAGCGTTCTGATGACAAAACAGACCAATTCAGTCACTTCTGGGGTGGACTCAAGAGGCCATCACAATCATTTAATGAATGTTCTTTGATAGCCGAAACTGGAGTGTGACAGCCAGGGCATATAAGCTAATGCAAAACATTTTAAACTCCTGCTTCCGTGTTTTCTGTTGATTTGCTAACATGCTGTTGATGTTCAGTTACGATGTCACTTCCGATCCATACATGGCCGATGCCCCAAGCCAGCAGGCGTTCAGGACGCTTGTTTGAATTAGGAAGTTCTGAAGAGCTGTGCAGCAGTTTTAATAAGATGCCCCAAACCTCTTACTCTGCCACTCAGATGTTCACTAAGAACCTGTGCACCCTTGCTTTGCTAAGACACTTAGTAGGCTTCCAAGCACAGCACAGCAGGGGAGCAGCAGAAACTTAGGAGAGTGAAAAGGCTCTCTCCCCGCACCCCATGGCTCAGGAGCCAGGACCAGGAGGCAGGGTCAAGTGATTGAGTAGTACACTTGGCTCCGGATCTCAGGTGTCTAGGGTGGAAAGAAACCTCCTCTCTCCTGGCCTCTGCTTCCACAGAGAGAACAGGTGACTGCAGCTTCCTCCACCCACCCACCCGCCCCCTCAATTCTCTGATTTGAGACAGAACTAACACTTTTGGGGAAACACCCAGGACAGTGTAAGAGGCAGGGGCTGCATCAGTGAATACAGAGATTCTACCTCTATGGAACTTAGGTTCTCTAAGGTAGAAAGGAAAAGGGTGCTAATGGGTGGGGTGGGGGCTCTGCACCTTAATTTTACCACGGCCCTGGGACTTGTCGTCAGCTCCTGGGGAAAGGGACGTGGGCTTTGCAGAGACGAGAAGTGGCCATCTGATTTCTAGGATATGGTAGAAAACCAGAAAAAGCAGAGATCCAAGTCGAAGATCTTGACCTCAGGGCATGCAAGTGGGCACTGGAGCCTGCCTTCCCGGAGAGCTCTGCCCAGCATCCGGAGAAGCTACAGGTCTGTAGAGTGCACGTCTAGGTCATTCCGGCTAAGGTAGCAGGGGAGTGTGCAGCATTTTACAAGACGGTTTTTTGAATGGCGCCTAAAGGGAAAAAAATCTTTATATGGAAAGTATATCTCCCCACACACCTCCGTTCAGAAACAGTTTCCTAATCCTGGATGCTCAGGGGCCCTGTAACCAACATCTCACATTACCCATTGCGTCGATTGAAAGCACCGTACAGTTTGCTACTAGGCGTCGGAGTCTGGAAGTTGAAACGAACCCACACGCTACGAGCCCGAGGGAGCGGTCAGGAGGCCCCGCCCTTCCAGGACGGGCTCTGGTACCTTGGTTCCGTTTGGTTGCTGCCGGCTACTTCGTTGCTAGGCGACCTAGACGGCTTCCCTGGAAACCCACAGCGGGAGAAGGACCCGCGGGCAGGGGGCGGGGCTAACTCCTAGCCCCCCCGCCGGGTGGCCGGGAGAAGGGCGGGGTCTGGGCGGGGCTCGAGCCGGGGGCGGGGCCTGAGGGGGCGGGGCGAGGCGAGGGGCGGGGCCTGAGTGCGCCTGCGCGGCTCGCTCCCTCCAGAGGCGGCGGCGACGCGCTGGGGGAAGATGGAGGATTACCAGGCCGTGGAGGAGGTAACGGCCGGCGGCGACGGGAGGGCGGCGGCCGGGGGCGCGGCCTGTGTGGCCCCCGGGCCTCGCGCGGAGGGAGGGGCGGCCATCCCCGAGCGGGCGGCCGGCGCGACGCCCTGCGTGACCCCGGGGCGCCCGGGGCGGGCGTGGCGGGCGCTTCCCGCCCCGAGGCCGCGCCGGGTGGGGCTCCCCGGCCTCGCCCCGCCCGCTGCACCCGCCCCCCAGCACCCCATTCCCTGCGCCCCCCTCCTGCCCTGTCCACGCCCGCCCCCGCAGCCCCGGGCCACCCCCCGCCCTGCCCCCCGGACCTGCTCACCCTCCAGCCCCGCTGGGCCCCGCGGACGGGCGCCCCCCCGCGAGCCGGGACCCGCACCCCGCCGAACGCAGGCCCCGGGCGCGCGGGCATCCCGGGATCCGCGTCCACACCCAGCCCCCCCCCTTGCGCCCGGACCCCGCTCCCCGACGTCGCCGCCGGCCCGCGAGGGGCCGCCGCGGGGGTGGGAGACGCGCCCCTTGGTTTCCCGGCGCGCCCCGGCCCTGGGGAGGGTGCGCCCCGCGCAGGCCGGAGGCGCGAGGCCGCTCGGGGGGCGAGCGGGGGACACGCGCCTGCAGCGCCCTCGGGCACCTCGGTCCTGCCGGGCCGCGTCTCCACCGGTGCAGACCTGAGACCCGCGGGCGGGGCCGCCTTTGTCTCCTGCACACCTGGTTCCTGCGCCGGCCAGCCCCGCCCGGCGTGCGCTGTCCCCCGTCACCGTCACCGTGCCAGGCCTGCCGCTCACATTGGGGGAGAGGGACCCCTTACTGCCCCAGTGCTGGAGTCGGGTAAAGCACACGATTATTTGCCCAGCAGAAGAGAGTCACCGGGTGCGCTCCTGCCCGCTCGGTGCCATTCTGGAACAGCTGCCCATTTTCTTCCTGCTAAGCAGTTCTTGTTGAAGTTCAGATAGAGAGTCCTCCATCTTAGTCGTCTGCCAAAAATAAAAATAAATATGGAAAGACTTGAGAAAAACAAACTGCCCGAAGTTCTCCCCAGGTGCTGCGCTCCCCCTGCGCCCCCACGCAGTGACCCCGCCACCCCCGCCATGCTGGAGTGAACGTTCTCCTCAGTGAACAGCCTGGCTGGACTGTTTCTGAGATCATCCTTTCTAAATTACGTTCATTGCCTAAATGTGCATTCATCAGTCCATCTTCTACGTTGCAGACCGCCTTTGTCGTGGATGAAGTGAGCAACATTGTAAAAGAGGTGAGAGGAGAAAGGCTTGCTTCTTAAATGTTTGCCTAATGGCTTATGTGAATGAAAATAATGTTTTAAATACTCTCTTGGAATTGTTTCGACTGAGCCTGTGTGTTTTGGCATTTCAAATAACAGTTTTCACATCAGTGACTATTTAGATAAGCATTACTCCCATATTATGTAAATTATATATTGTAAATCAGACAGGAAATTTTATATATATAGCTTATAATTGAAGATTACAGTATTCAAATGAGTGCGTCCAGTGTTTAATGAAGAAAGTGTGAACATAAAAAATTGAGCACCTTCCAGTTATCTGGTACCTGGTGACCCAGTTGGAATTTATTCATTTATTACTCTCACATTTCTAAATCATCCTCTTTTTTTTTAGAAAAAAAAAAATTATTTATACAAGAACCAGGGTACAGGCCAGCTGCGCGGGAGGGTGACCGGATTCACCAGAGACAGAGTGGGAAACAGAACAGGCAGACTGATGAAATACACTGCTGAGGGGAGCAGCGGGCAAGTCAAGAGAGGTCTGCTTGCCATGTGGGAATCTCCCTAGCCAGCCAGGAATCAAACCCGCTCTGCAGAGGCTGCAGACAACTTCACAGCACAGCGCCCAACCGCCTGCACCACCAGGAAGGCCCTAAATCACCCTTTTATCATCATTGGACACCCTACCTCCCTTAGGTGATGAGAATGGGGGATAAAAAGTGTATTTTTTCTTCATCCAGAAAATACATATAAAGTGGGCATGCGTGGACTGGCACTGAAGGAGTGCCCAGAATGGGGGGAGGGGGGCAGACATTCACCAGATTACCATCCTGGAGCATGTGCGCCTGCGCACCCTGTGGTGCTAGGGTATGTGCTACTCTGAGGAATTGTCAGAACAGGAATTTGGGGAATCGTTAGGCATGGGGGTTCACTAACAGAACAGAGAGAGCAAACGTTCCTATCCCTGGTAGGAGTGTGTGTGGTGTTTGAGGGACCAATGGAGCCGCATGACTTGAGTGCTGGAGAGCCAGGGCAGGACAGGCCAGAAAGGCTCTCCTGGCAGCTGAGCATAGAGACCGAAGCCCTTACTGGAAAAGCCACCAGGTGATCTGGGCTTAGTAGCACTCTGAGGTTATGTTGGTGATTTGGAACTTTCAGTGCAAGTTGTTATCAATGCAAACTGCTAACTAGGGCCCTAGTAACAGAGCCACGCCCGCATTTGTGACCCACATCAAAAGACAATGGTTTTGTCCTGGCCTCTACATTATTCTCTGGCGTGATTTTGAGTTGCTTTGCAAGATCTTTAACAGGTTTTTTTTTCCCCTAAATACAGCGTTACTCTGGGGGTTTGGGTGAATGAAACAATCACACTGAAACCCTAGGGAATGGGGTAGGTTTGCCAGGAAGTTCCCCTTTGGCCACGCTCGGCTTCTGCATGATCTCTGGTGGGGTTGCCAGGCTGCCAGAGTTGGAAGTAGGCTTTCCCTTCTCAGTAGCACGCAGCGTGGTGTTGCCAGGCTACTCGCATGTATCGCCAGTCTCAACAACTATCTTATTACCCCCTTCCCCCTCCCCCGGAAATAGATTAATTCTGTCCTGGAGCTATTTTCAGGATGGGGTAGTAGTCAGCTTGGGTGGGTCCAAAATTGGAAGAGGGTTTTCCTTCTCCCTGAAAAGCAGTGAGTTTCAAAGTGTGTATGGAGTTGCCAGAGTTAGAGGTTTAAATTGACTGGAAGTCATCATCTTACCCCCACCCCTGGCGATGCCCAGGTCTAGTCATAACCAGAGAGCCTTTGAATGCCAGCCTTATGCTGGAATGCCAGCCTTATGCTGGGGAGGAGAGCAGGACGTGGCAGAGCAGGAGTTGTGATGGGGTGGGGGTGTCGGGAATCCAGGATCTCTGGCTCAATAGAAGCCAGGGTGTGACTGCAGCAGGTTTGTGTTCCTCCGGAGGAGTGGGTGGGGCTTAGGCCCTGGCATTAGACCCCCTGCCCACCCTCCAGCCCTAGGACTGTCTGTGCCGGTCTGAGGACAGAACTTGCTCCACTGAATGTTTTTGTTGTAGGTTATGACTGTGATAGAACTGAGTTTTCTGGTTTCCAGCATAGCAGGTTAGAAAAGGGTAGAGAAGAATGCTGCTTAGGAGCAGACACACTGGCATCAGCATAAGAGACCCAGAAAATCATGAAATGGGAATTCACTATAAACTTGAATCAAAATGCAGGCAAGGAACCAGGCATAATTAGTCTGTTTTTAAAAGGAATTTTTCATTAAAAATACATACAAACTTAGAATCTAGTTTGGATTTCACAGAGCTGCTCTTTAGTCATCTGCAAATGCCCTTACATGGGCAGATTCCCGGGAAATGCTGGATCAAGGACGTGCATTAGAATACATGACTATTCGGATAGGTTTGTACACTGTTGCTTATACAGACAACCAGTCAAGGAATAGGCCAAGGAAAATATTTTGTAGCCTCAGGAGGAAATAAATATTGTTGCTTATCTCGTGAGAGTAATCACAATAGTGAACATTAAATCCAATCAGAATGTTAAAAAAAATGACAGACCTTATTTAATTATGGATTTTTTTTTTTAATGAACATAAATCTTAGCTAAACGAAGCATGTTAAACAAAAGGTAATTTGTAAAGGATTCCTCATGGTTACCGATAAGCTCACTGGGTTATATTTTAGTTGTATTTCGCGGTTTTTTGGGGAGGAAACACACCCAAGGTGCTTGTTCTGCTCATGGGATCCCTGCTGTTTTCCAGGCCATAGAAAGCGCGATCGGAGGCAATGCCTATCAACACAGCAAAGTGAACCAGTGGACCACAAACGTAGTGGAGCAGACTCTAAGCCAACTTACCAAGCTGGGGAAGCCATTTAAATACATTGGTAATGGGTTTGTGCATCTCGAATGTCTCGGTGATTCCTTAAATATTGGTCGGGGCACAGCTGGCCTGACTTCCTGGTTCCCGGCAGGGTTTTGGGCGTTTACCAGCCCTCAGGCCTATTTAGCTGCTGGAACCACTGACAGGCACGCCTCAGGGTTTCACAGCACGAAGAGCAGATGTTTTTAAGACAGGTGTGTGGTAAAGGACAGGGAGGTGCACCTGTGCATGCTCTCAAGCCAGGCAGCCTGCCCTGAGCATTTTGTCACATGCCTCCTCCCGCAGTGACATCTATGTGCTGAAAGTGGGCCAAAAGATGTATGTTGCCACGTAGATTTCTCTAATGAATGTTCGTTTTAATTGAAGTGACCTGTGTGATTATGCAGAAGAATGGAGCTGGGTTACACACGGCCAGTTCCTGCTTCTGGGACAGCTCCACTGACGGTACGTTTTCATTTGTTTTGTGAAGGCTTGTCATGGGCATTTCCTTAAGGGTTTTCCAGTACATTCTTGGACTCTGCGGGAATCTAGATCACTTGGAATGGTGTTTCTGTGAAGTTGTGTGCGCAGGTGTTTCATGTCTCCAAGTCCATGTTTACTGGCCTCACTTACTAGAACCTAGTAGAGCTTGGCCGTGCTTCTCTGTAAGCCACAGAGGCGAGCACAGGATGTTTTGGCCTTAGGAGAAATCAAAATAAAGGGTCCATGGCTTCCCAGAGTTTTCAGTGCCAACCTGCCCTTCCCCCCGCAGGGAGCTGCACGGTGCGATGGGAAAACAAGACCATGTACTGCATCGTCAGCGCCTTCGGACTATCCATCTGACCTCCCAGGCCTTATCCTTTGTCTCAGCGCGTCTCTCCGTCTTCTGCTCCCACGTGTGAATTGAGTGAACACCTTTCTGTTCTCTTTGTGTTTTGTGTGGGTTTTTTGGTTTGGTTTTGTTATCGGTGGCACTCCCCAAGTGTAGAAGAAACCAAATAGCACTGTTCTAGGACCTGCACGCCCATTTCAAAGAAATCATCACCCCTGGTCTTAACTCTGAATATTTCTTTTCAAAGGTGCTAAAAACTGGAATCTGTTAGTGTGAAACTTTCTCTATTCTCTGAAATGATTCAAATACACGAATTTTCCATACTTTGTACTTTTGTTAGAATAAATTATTCCAATTTAAAGTTTGTTCTTTTTTGTAGAGACTGTCACAGCTGAATTCTTTATAGTTAGTAGCTTCAGAATCTATAAAATTGTAGAAGAGACAGCTGCAGTGTGCTCCTCTCTGACACAGTGGTTTGCTGGGTTCCCTCAGGGCAGGGATCCCATAGCTTCCTGTGCTTGGCTACATTTCTTCCTCTGGGCAACATAGCTTCATCTTCTGGTCCCTCCCCTGCAGCGCCGGGTGGGAAGTAGGCAAGATGGTTGAATGTCCCTTGGCCAGAGTGCTCTGATCTCACCTTGGGCCCAAGTCCCAAACAGTACAACTCTCCCACGCGCTTGCTTTTCAGTAGCAATCACAAAGCATGTCTTACTTTTTCAAGCTTCCAGAATGCTTTCCCACTCATTCATTGTGTCCACACAATTAGATATTTATAATCATAAAATGTGGGCGTTATCTGAATTTAAAATCACATCCAAGAAAGTGGGGAGGGTGGAGCCCAAAACTTGATCTTCTGACCTCATTTTTCAGTGCTTGTCCACCAGCCATGCTGACATGGTGAAGACACTTTGGTCACCGTTTGCTGAGAAAGCCTCCTGCTCGCCCAGAGCCCTTGCATTAAAGCACGCGTGCGAGTGACTAGATGAAGGGCGGGTGCACAGCACACAAAGCAAGATGTATGTGCCAGGGGTGAACATTAAACATGTATTAACATTTACCAGAAAGGTAGTCTCAGAATGAAGCAATTCCCAAAGTGTGAGTTTGCCATAAATAAACATTTATTCACTTGGATTACAGGGACATTCTGTGATCGGGTCCTGTGCTTGGGGGCACAGTCCCACGACCTAATACAGAGCGCTCTCCTTGAGCCTACAAGATTAGTTGTTTTGTTTTACAAATATTTACAGTCTTTTTGTAAAAAGGCAGTTTTCAGTAGCAGAAAATCCATTTGTGTTTCATAGTATGATTTAGTTACCAGTAGTATATTTAAAACATGTCAAACCAAGGTAACAAGACATCACAGACTAAATCAACTTTCCTTTGGCCTGGGGACAGGGGGTGGGGGGGGAATATATCTTCTTTTTTTTTTTCCCCTCAAAAGTCTCTCACCTCTAAGGCAACTGGTTTCTAAAACCCTCAAAATATATATTACTCAAAATACATCCTTTAGTGTTTGTCTAGTCTTCACTGGATGTCCCTGTTAATCAGCTGCTGTGTTTTCCCTGTGGACAGGATTCCGGAAGCCAGTACCACATCGTAACCTGTTTAACACAATGACCTCCAGTGAACCAGTGAAATACTTGAGGCTGGTGACATTTGTCTGGTACCTGCTCATTCAGGGGTTGGGTTTACATAATATAGCTAAACTTTTATTGCAATCTGTAATTATATACAGTAACCTTACAAACCTTGAATATATTGTATACCTCTCCTCCAGCCTTTCAAACGGGGCTTGAGAGAGAGAAGGCTGCGTTACTTCACTGCTGTAATGATTTAATAATAAATCAAGCGGACCTATTATCCACATGGATAATGGAGCTCTCCCTAGGGAAACTGTTAAATACCTCTGGTCGTCTTCCAGGTGCCCCTAGACAGGACCAGTATTAAAAAATTATCCCAAAGATGATGTTATTCAAGCCATTACTGTGAGAACTAAAGTCAGCCCTTTGAATTTATCATTTAAATTTGCAAAACATACCCAATGAAGAAGAAAAACAACTTTCTTGCTACTGTTCAGACTTCAGTGTTTTAACCTAATACCTATGGCACACATAATACATGCTAAATGCTGTGTACTTTAAGCAAATTTTCACATGGAATATGTAACATGTTGATATACATGACCAGAGAAGTTGAAAATGCATAATTTAATAAGGACCCTTTTCCCCCTTTAGTACTTCTATAATTTTTTTCTTGTTTCCAACTTAGTTACAAAAACTAACTTCATACTTTTCAGTTCACTGGCTGGATGCCGTGAAGACAACGTATGAAGGTATCAGTCACCGGTTTATAATTACACTACAAGACAAAGACAAGTTTAAGTTCCAATGTGCACAGCTAATGCCTCAAGTATTTTACATGTATTGATAAATAACAGCATTCCAAATCATGGACAATTACTTTATAATGATTAAATCTTGTAAACTATCACATACTAGGGTACGTTAATCAGGAGTAAGTTTTCATCAATTTACATAAAATTATTTATAGTTACTCTTAATAGAAGTCGTAAAATTTGTTTACAGAAGATTTTCTCAATACCTCTGAGTACACAAAATCAAAAAAGTGATCACACCATCGCAAATGTAAAAACCATGTAAACTTGAATTATCCTTGCAATGATAGTTGTTTTCATTCAAACATTCATATTTACAAGGTTTTTAAAAACAAATATAAATGGAATCCATATTAAAGAGACAGCATCAAAGTTCAAATTAAAAAGAGATACCAGTCACAATGAACAGTCTCACGAACCTCTGTGACGTCCCAGCACGACCTGAGGGGACTATAATTGCCCGCGCTCACACAGTCGGCATTAATGCATAGATGAGATGTAGGTGCTGTTCGCAGAGCAGAAGAAGCCTATCTAAACCCCTGCATTTGCCAGTGGACATCAGTCAGGACGTCTGTGGTGGTCAGGAATTGACAGTTCACGAGGCATTACCGTGACCGTAGAAGAAAAAGCAAAGGGAGAGCTGCAGCACCTTCTAGACCTTGTCTTCAACTGAAGGGACTGGGCGTCTCGTGCACGGATGCAGCCATGCTGACAGCTTCCCTTCCCACAGGGACGGTCTGCTTACTCAGCCCCTTGAGCCGTGGAGGGCCTGGGCGGCCCCCACCTTACCCTCCACGAAGATGGTCTTCCATAAGCCCATTTCCAAGGTTCTACTTTCTTTCCTCTACTTTGAATGTGAAATTGAAAAACTTTCTGGCAATAATCTATAATATTTCCATCATTTATTTAGCTTCTATTTTAAAAAAATATAAAGCTCTACAGGGTGTCATCTCTTCAACAGCATTGCAAAAACTTTATATTGGAATTGAGGATGCCTGCCCTCTTCGCCAGCCCAAACACAGGGCCTTCCATTCACTCACATATGTGAGGCTCACAGGCCCGCGCAGCCACGTGTGCACACGGGCCCTTGGTACCTGGCGCCGGCACTCGTCGGCTACCTTCCCCTTTCCTTATGAAACTCCACACCCGCCTCACAGCCACAACAGCACTTCTGCTTTGGTGGACAGAGGGCTGCAGCCTGTCCCCCTGCAGCCGCTGTGAGTCGGCACTTCCCTATTCGGCGCGGGGGGTCGCCAGGCTCCGTGGGAAGGGCTGCCCAGGTCAGGGCCAGCGAGAGCGGGCTTCCCGTGAAAGGGTCAGAGCGGGGTCAGAACGAGGGCAGCACAGGTCAGCGCAGAGAGGATAAGAGGCGCGGAATGCTGACATGCCAGGGCCTTCGGACAGGGCTTTCCATGAATTTGACATTTGTTAAGTTCTTAAAAATATATATATATAATTGCCTCTACCAAAACCAGAAGTGATTTCCTCCTTGCCACTGAAAACAAGCTCTCTCTTCCCTGAAATCTTTGAAATGGATTTGGCTGAACTCCTCAGGGCATCTCTTTCCAAATGAAAAGTATTCCCAAATAAAAGTAAGAATGAATTTGGCCTGACTTTTAAATTTGTCCTCAGGTTTGATTTTCCTTTCAAAAATATGTAAACAAGCAAGAGTCTCTGCTTATAAAACAAGCCTGACTAGAGGCAGGTGCAGCGGGAGGGCCCAGAAGTGTTGCTGCAGGAGACCCGGGCTCCCCAGCAGCCCTAGTCGCTGTCCGACCCCTCCTTGTACTGGGCCCGGATGGCCTGGCCGTTCTGCAGGGGCATCTCTTCATAGTCACTCCTGTCATGAAAGAGACCTTTGATACCGCTGGGCTTTTGACGGCCATTTATTCTCTCACCCCGACACAGCGTCCTAACAAGAACGCATTTCATAGCCTCACTCTCCGCTGCAAGGCCAGCTGGCACTGCCCACTCTCCATCCGCCACCACAGGCCGTCACAGAGAGAACAGCCACCACTCGCTGACGGAGCTCGGCGGAAAGGAAGCCCCTACAGGGTAAGCCACGGGACAAAGCCACTCCCAGACCAAGGAAGGTAACGGTCCTTGAAAACCATTTCAGAATGACTAACAACCTGCTCAGTCAACACGTGGGGCCAGGCGGAAGCTCCCGGCACACGTCCCAGGGACGGGGCTTACCCGTAGATGACGTCGTCGTCCGAGTCGTTCAGCATGGAGAAGGCAGGGTTGTCCTTCAGCTGGGACTCTGAAAACCAAGAAAGCATTTTTAACTCGGGTAACTTGTGTTACTCGTCTGGAAAGGCAGGAAGCTGTCTTGGAAAAGAAGAGTCAGAGCTCGACTCAAATCCTGGTTTCCACCATTTTATCATCCATGTGACCTGGAGAAATCACTGCTCTCCAGGGCATTACCCAGTGGGCAGCCGGAGACCGAGTGGGAGCTGCCGCTAGGGGTACTTGCTCCCAAGTGCATGCAAGGGGTGCATTTTGGGTTTTTTCAAAGGCCCTGGCACTAGGGGCCCAGAACTCATCCTGGCACCCGCCCAAAAGCACTATCATCTTGGGTCATACAGACAGCACCCCTGCCAGGTGCTACCTGAAACGCAAGCTCCCTGTTTAACCTGACTGGGTCTCTGTCTGCTAAGAGGAGGCCCTGGAGTCACGGCCCCGGCGCTAACAGGAACCCAGAAGCACGTCCTGGCGGGGCCCCACGGCTTACCGTACACAGCATTCTTTGATGGAGAGTACACGAAGGCCAGCGTGTAGAGGTAAAAGTTCAACAAGCCGTAGAAGGACAAGAATTCAGCTGGTGACACAGTCAAGGGAAGTCAGAAGCCCAGGAGACTCCACATGATTTCTCAGCCTTGCTCTCGGCCCGACCACTCCCACTTGCACTGCCAACCACTAAGTCCCCAGGTCCACGAGCCCAAGTCAGGGCACCACAGAACAAGCCCGTGGCCAGAGATTCCCACAGCCGTGCAAGGCGACCTTGCTCTCTGCTATTTGTGGGAACCTCCCTCGGGAGGTGGCAGGACAGACATGATCAGGGGCCACGCCAGGGCGGGAAGCCGCATGCACGCGGGCGAATCAAGAGCGAAACAAAGCACTGGAAGCAGACGCAGCCCTCCCCCGCCCGTCCTGGTCTCAGACCCCTTTGGCAAGCTGGTGACAGCTTAGAGTGAGAGCAGCCACCAGGCCTGGAAAGACCGGACTTCATTCTAAAGCCGTCAGGGTTCCCCAGGAAAGAACCTGCATGTACAGGATGACCCTCCAAAGTGTCTCTGACAGGTGGTGTCACCCCAGTGGGGTAGGAAGCACATGCTGCACCGGCCCTGCACCTGGGACAGGAGTTCCCCTGGGAAAGTGCTCCCCACTCCCTCTTGTCCACTATCCTAGAGGGTCAGCTGGCCCAGCCCCATGACCACAGTGCCCAGAAGCAGCTACGGGGCCATCTGGGTGCTGGAAAAGGACCCCAATGGGGAGGGGACCACAGATCAGGACTTCACTTCTCAGTGCTCCGTGGGGACAGCATAAGGTTCAGCATTGGTACTCAGTTCCTCCGCAGCCCCCCACAAGTATTAAAAAGGGGGTGTGGAGATGCTGGGACCCTGAATTCAAGCTCAGGCTCTGCCACCTGGTAACAGACTTGGGGACATCTCACCTACGCTGACTACAGAGATAACGCGGTGCTTCTGGGCCAGACAGCAGAGGCCACCTCCCCACACACTGGCGGGAGTCCCGAAGGGCCTCCACCCGGCAGGGCTCGCCTCTCCCTCACATCCATAAACCCAAACACCGCCCACTCCATGTCCGCCCTGACTCCCCTTCCTGTTAAAGGATATAATTCTGATAGTGAGCTGATAGCTCAGCTACAAAGTTGTCTTGTAACACTTGCGCTCCGAACCTCAAATAAAGGATGACGATGCTGGAAAAAAGGGGAAGAGCAGGTAAAAGGCAGAAGCAGCCCTGGCGTCACGGACCCTCTAGCAGCTGGCCCCCACCAGCCTTCTCCCGGCCACTGGTGCAAGGAGCCGGCGCACGCCCACGCTCGCGCACACACACAACTTGGTGCTGGGTTTCTGGTCTCAGCTCCAGGAGGGCCAGCTGCTGGGACAGAGCGAGGCTTCCACAGACCCGACAGTCTCCAGCCCATGCTCACTCTCACTCTGGGAGCGCCGTGTCCACACTGGCTGTGGTGGAAGAGCTGGGTGTACAGGGTGCCCCTCCCCAGGGCTGGGAGCTGCGAAGCAGACCCGGAAGGCGGGCCTCTCGAATCCCCAGGGCTCCCTCCAAGGCACAGGGCCGCCAGCTGCTTATCTGCCATCCAAACCACCCAAGGAGAAATGCAGATAATGCAATTTCTCCCCCCATAAACAACCAACATTTCTCTGTGTGAAACATGTCAGGAACAACGCCTTCTGGGTCAGGCCCTCTGCCGCAGCCTGCACCTGGCCAGCCTGAGCGTGGGGCTCTCCGGCCACCCTGGCCCCTCCACCTGTCCAGTGGCACCTGCTCGGAGTCCAAACTCCCAGCGCTGAGAGCCAGGCCCTGCGCTTCACTCCCCCACTCACAACTCCTGCCTGGGGTCCCGTCCTGGGTTCCTACCCTAGGGTCCAGGCCCAGAGCCACACACAGGGCTGCATCCCCATTCTCTGCGCTGGTCACTGTCTGCTGCACCCAGGCGGGACGTCACAGCGAGCGGGGACAGCCGGCACCGAGCACTGGGCCCTGCTCTTCACTCCCCCACTCTCACAAAGACAAGCCCTCAGCCCTTCTGAGTGCCCCGCCTGGGGAACACGACCTCTGGCGTGATGGGCATATTTGGTTGGAAGTAACTTACAATTAACTCTGTAAAAGGGGAGAAAGATATCCACCATAGTAAAACAGAAATTTTGCGTCAAGAAATGAAGTCTTCTCACCTAATGACAAGCACGACGAAAGTCAACGCAGTCAAAAATTTTAACCTGAGATCTGAAAAAGAAAGAAATCCTGCCGTTAGGTCACCCGGGAGGTAAATTGCAGCAACTCTCACCTCAGAGATTTTCGAAATAAAAACAAAAATGAAGCCAGACCCCGGGACGAAAGCCCCTTCCTCTAGAGCTTATGCAGGGAGGGGCCACGGCACCTCCCAGGGCCCAGGACAGTCCCCAGTGAGGCCGGAACCCTCGATACTCGGTTGTGACAGGATTCCACGAGGTCAGGTGACTTGCCCTCACTCGAGGACCTGGGGAAGCACCCTGCCAGCTCCAGGTGCCATTCTGGAAGGACACAGGCAGCTCCAACAGCCTCTCTGAGCCTGTACCCCAGCAGGCATTCCCCCTGCCCCAAGGCCTGCAGCGCTGGTCCCAGGCACTGGCCAAAAGGCCCTGTTGTCCATTCTGCCAGCTGTGGGCCCCCTGGGACCAAACGCACGGGTCCCCAGCTGTATGGGAAGGGGCAGTCCTCGGGGGCAGGCCATTCACTGGGGGGACACCTGGCTGGTAGCTGGAGGGCGCTTACCTACGTAAGGCATGTGACGGAGCTCGGAGCAGGCCCGCACGATCAAGAACAGCAGGTACAGGACGTACACAGCCGCCACCACCATGAAGAAGACCTTCATGCCCTGGAAGGCGATGGGGGGGCGCGTGAGTGGGGAGGCGGTCTCGGGGCCTTTCCTCCCCACAAGCCCGGGAGAGTGGACAAGCACCCAAGGTCACTCCACACACAGAGACCCGACTGTGCTCCACACTGGCTACCCTTGGTGAGCCCTGGAGGCCGGAGGCTCAGCCCGGAGGACTCCCCCCGCCAACCAGGACATGCAGCTGGCCCTCCACACGTGGGGGAGGGTCAGGGCTGCATCCTCAGACATGCTCAGGGTCAGACTCCACTTATCTGGACCTCGGTTTTCTTATCTGTGACGTGAGAGAATAAACCAGGTCATCTGGAAGTATCGGGGCTCAAGTCACCCGATTTTGTAACTTTGTACAAGAAGACAAGTGGAGGCTGTGCTCTAGGCCCGGAGCTGTGACAGGGACGCCAGCAATGCTGACCCCTCCCTGGGGTCCCTCTTCAGCATGGCCCCTGGTCTTTCTGGCGTCCTCCCAAATCACCAGTTAGCAAGCTTACGCCAAGTCACCAAATTCAGTCATTTTTTTAAAATAGCATTAAAAAAAATTCCTCAGGCTTCATGAACTATCCTTACCTGAAAATTCCCTGTGTCGACACGATACTGGTACATCGGATCGTGTAACTCATTAACTCTGAAAACACAGTTATATAGAAAAGCGTAGGTTAACCACTAGTTTCCTTTTTATTTTACACTTTCTCACTGGGCTTCCTTTCCTTCAATTTAGTAATTTAAACTTGCAAACTGACAGTAAAGAGTTTTTCAAGAGTAATTCTAAATTTGTAAGAAAATCTAATTTCACACTGCAAAAACCCCACGCTCCTGCCTGCTGTCCAGGCTCCTGCCTGCTGTCCATGCTGCTGTCTGTCCACACTCCTATCTGCTGCTCACGCTCCTGTCTGTCCAGGCTCCTGTCTGTCATCCCTGCGCTTGTCTGTCTGTCCAGGCTCCTGTCTGCTGCCCACGCTCCTGTCCATCTGTCTACAGTCAGTGGGGCTGTGAAGTGGCTTTTTCACAAGGAAAACCACTGTCCCATCTCTGGCCATTTCCCAAGAGCGTGTCCAGGTTCCTTTCCAATGGGATCCACAGGCACGAGGACATGGACGAGCAAGGAAAACAACAAACCAAGTACCAACTCCCAGGAACTCAGTTCCAGATGAGCAGGGGCACTGAGAGGAGGGCAGGCAGGAGGGTGGCAGAGACGCATGAGAATTCTCAGCCCTCACAGTGACTCTTTGGGGTAAACTCATTACCCTCATTTTACAGATGAAGAAAGAAAGTACTGTGTGGGGAGGTCGTGGAGGGGGGGAGCTCTGCTCCTAGCAGGTTCCCTGAGACAGGACCCCTCGATGCCCCTCGCTCTCCTGACAGAACCGGACCAGACAGAAGCTACCCTGGCTGTGTTGGGGCCCGACATGCTTTGGGCGAATCAGGCTGCCACCTCACGAGGCGACTGCAGTTGGAACCACTTTACAGGACAAAAGTACTAACGAAAATAAACCCTGGGAGCAGGTGTGAGGCTGGGGAGGTCACAGATGCCCAGGGAGGCGGAGTGAGGAGCCAGCCCCAGCTTCGGGCCTACAGGGGGAGCCTTTGCCTCGCAGCGGAGGAACCTTGAAGCATGTGTGTTCATGTCCCATCTGAGACTAGCAGACTCCCATGGATGGCTACAGGCCACACAGGCAGAAACGCACTCAAGTTCAAGGTGCACTGCCACAGCTGGGAGGGATGGGTGACAACTCGTCCAGATGAGCTCCCAAAATCTGGCCTGCCCACCTTAGCGCGGGCTTCCCCACTAAAGGCTCACACATCATAAAATCACTCACGTCTGCCATATTCCTAGGGTCACGGAAGCCAACCACAACAGTCCAACGATGAAGAATTTAGGTAAATAGAAGGTCAAACACTTCCTTTCTCCCTGAAAGGAAAAGTAAAAAAAAAAAAAAAAAAAAAAGTGGTGGGTGGGGGGAGAAATAGAGAAGTGAGTAAATGCAGCCAATCATCAACCCCTAACAGGCCACCTCACATCACAGACACTCAGCTCCTTCCCACCCAGGGGCCCTCTCCTGCCGGCAGAAAGCGGGCTCTCAAGGTTAAGTCCATCTTTAGGAATGACTGAGTCCCTCCGTGGAGCCGAGGCTGACCTGGACCCGAATGCCATGGTACACGCAGAGCCAGAAGAGCAGCAAGGCGCACAGGAACACGGACTGGAAGAGGTCGTCCAGCATGCCCGGGAGCCAGCTGTTCACCAGGAAGGAGAGGGGGAAGAAGGGATCTGGAAGCAGAAGGCAGGACAGCGTGAAGACAGGCTGGCAGGACCCAGCCACGAGCGCCGTCCCTGCGAGGCCAGAACTCAGGCCGCGCTCCCCCGGCACAGCCAAAGGAAAACGCGTGAACTCAAGTCTGTTTTGTTTTTCAAAACACCTAAAAGCCATGACCAGATTGCCCCAGCGATGGTGACAGAACACCTTCTGCTCCGCCATCCGCTCCTCCCCGCAGGCCCGGGGATCCCCACTCAGCTCTGGAGCCAGCGCTGTCTGGAACAGGAAGGAGGAGCAGACGGGTGTCGGGCACGGCAGCCAAGTTAAGACGCTGCGCCTGCAGCCTGCCAGCTCAGCCACTGAGGCCGTCGCCCATCTGTGCTCCATGGGAGCTATCGCCACTGGACACCCAAAACAGCAGTCAAGGGGCTGGGGCCCCTGCCACCCATCCCTTTAGGAGCCCCTGGCTTTTCTGGAGACCTCAGGGCCAGGCCAGCTCTGTGAACTCATCTGGCCTCAGCCTGTAAAGGGGAGCGCTCCACCACCAACCGCTCACCTACCGTTGTAAAGCAGCAGCAGAGGCAAAAGAATGGACATCCACTTCTGCTCGATGCCCCAGTCTCTCATGGAGAACTTGCGGAGGGAGTGGGCAAACAGGCACTGCAAGAAACCAGGCCATCAGTGCCCTGGCTAACACCCAGCTCGGGACCACCACTGCCTCCCCAGTGCCAGCAAGACCTGCTCCGTGAACCCCAGTCAATTGCCCATTGTGGTCACAGGCCACAGATGGCAGCTGGGATAAGAGAGCCAACCACTGCCAAGGGCCATGGACAAGGGTCCCGGGTGTTCCTGAGGGGCAGGCGGGCCCTGGCATCCATACACCTGCTGCAGAGCAGAAGCGCACCCACCCCACCACCTCCGTTGGATGCAGGTCAGGCTGAGCCGGCCGCACCGAGACAGTCCCAGCCAGGCATGGGCCTCGCGGCCAGGCCACTGCACCCTCCCAGAGGCAGCAGCTTCTCAGGAGGTCACCAGACCCTGAGCAGAGAGGGCAAAGGCCACATCAGGGGAGTGTAGTTCAAACACCTCCGGAAGGCTTGGGCACAGGAGAGAAGTTTCTTTGAACTAATTTAAAACAGGACCCAGTTTGTGATTTTTAGACAAGGGATGTTTACAGTTTATGTGTTTTCCGTAATCTGACAGAAACTGATGGTCTTCCAGGTAGTCAGCAAAAACTCAGGCCCAAGGAGGACCGAGAGGCTGTGGGCACTCCCCACCCACCAGCTGGTGGTGGGTCTCGGTGGCCTTGATGGTTCACCAGGAGCGCCTGGCCCTGTGCCACGCCCAGGTCCCAGTGCCTTTGGCACTGTCCTCACATGTCCCCACAGTTGTCTGTGTCCTTCTGCACAGTCAGTAAGTGAAGCACGGGTATCACTGGGCAGCATCTCGAGTGGCCACCAGGACAGATGGTGGACACGCCTCTGAGTCAGAGAAAAGACCCACCTCCACCAAGAGGCCTGGGGTCACTGATAAGCACCCCCATCAGTGTACCTCGGGGCATGGACCTTCCACCAAGAGGCCCGGGGTCACTGGTAAGCACTCCCTGTCAGTGCACTTGGGACACCAACCTGGGGCTTGAGCGAGCAAGAGCCTGAGCCTCCAAAACCACTTCTCGGGGCCTTCCTGCTAAAAAGGACCCCCGGCAGGCAGGTCTGCAAAACTCTGCAAAGGCAGACACCTGAGAATGGCTGCGTCCGCCCTCGAAGCCTGGCCCTCCAGTGAGGCAAATCCGCTGTGTCACTGCCCAGTGAGGAGAATGGACTTAAAGGGCACTGGGGGTGTGATTGTCACCCCACAGAAATCCCCATTGCAAGGAGCCCACTGCCTGGCCCTGCTGCAGCCAGCTGACACATGAGCCACACCCTGTCAGACCCCAACAGCATCTCAGGATTCAAAGGAATCCCCAGAGTGGCTTAATTTGTAGACAGACTTCACCCTCTTAGGGTTCAGCGTGTTTATCAGGCGGGGGGACTTACAGTGACGATGAAGGTGAGCACCACAAAGATGAACCGGAACCAAATCTCCCACTGGGAAAATGCAGGGTTATACGTCTTCCACTGAAAGGAAAAACAGGAATGTGATTTGGGGGTAAAAGGCATCTAAAAGAAATCTACCAGGTTAGAAATAAACAGTTCTCTCTCCATGTGAGACTGTGTAATAGAAAATGTTCTTTTCGGACCTCCCCGGTGGCGCAGCGGTTGACCACTAGGTTGCGATGCTGCCCATGGCCTCTGGAGGGCCGGTTCAATCCCGGGTCGGCGGGCGAGGGTCCCACATGGCGCACAGACCTCTCCTGCCGCCGGCTGCTCCCCTCAGCAGTGTGCTTCATCACTCTGCCTGTTCTATTCTCCGCTCTGGCTCTGGTGAATTCTCTCACCCTCCAGCACCTCTGACTGTACCCAGTGCTTGTATAAATAAATAAATCTTAAAAAAAAAAAGACAGAAAATGTTCTTCCTTGTACTTCCCTATATGTTCTGATATTTTAACAGTACACTTTACTTTTAAAGCATACAAAAAAAAACCCTCAATTACCAAGAACTGAAGATAGTTTTAAAGGGTGTTATATTAATGATGAATCTGGCAGATAATTTTTTTTAAGATTTATTTTATTTATTGCATACAATATTGCATACGAGAACTGGGGTACAGGCGAGAGGTGTGGGGGGTGAGAAGATTCACCACAGCGAGTGGAGAGCACAATAGGCAGATCCACTGAAATACACTGCTGAGGGGAGCAGTGGGCGAGTCAGGAGAGGTCTGCTGCGCCATGTGGGTTGCTCCCTGGCAGGCTGGGGATCAAATTCATGCTGCAGTGGCTGCACCATCAGGGAGGCCCCGATAAATTATTCTTTAATCACACAGATCATTGGGCTTTTATATCTCATACCAAAAATCAACCCTGTTGATCTCTTTATTGGAAAGAGCCATGCTTTCCACTAAAAGTGATTTTTGAAAGCTGCAACCATGTGAGCAGGTAGTGTGTTCTATAAAGGTCTCACTGAAACAACTCATATGAATCTGGAGCCCAAAGAGTGGATGGAGTCAGTGGCTGGCATGTGCCTGAGTAGCAGGCCTCAGCTGGTGAACACCTCGCAGAAGTGAGGCTGAGCATGGGCAGAAGGCGGCCTCCACCCTGGGTCACAGGCCAGACCTCTCACCAGACCCCGGGCACTGCTGGACCAGTGTACCCACCATTTTAATGTACTGAACTAAAATCATCTGAGCAATTAAAAACATCCACTTCAGAGCAGGGCTGCAGATACTTGACTTTCCTTACTGCCTGTGCACACGCACACACACACGTACATTTATCTACCTGTAGGTACATCTAGTTTAAGACGTGATGAGTGAAGGACAATAATCTCTTGCTGATGGCAATAAAGGAGGCATGGCCTCTGGGTACAGCAGTCATGGGTTTTAGGGGAACATACAACCAGGAGCCCCGAGACACCAGTCACGGGCTACAAGGGCAGGATGGGACCGAGAGGACATCTGCGCAGACAGAGACCCCAGATGCCTACCAAGGGCCTTCCCCTCACGTCTTCACCTGGATGCTGACTAGCACATGGTGTAAGCCCCCCAAGACCAGGGAAAAAGAATTCCAGAAGGATCACTGGCACTCACCACAGGCCAGAAATGGCCTGGTCAGACAGCAGGATGGAACACGTGCTGGAAGGTGGGCAGCATGCTCAGGGCACTTTGCCTCAATGGCGGGAAAAAATCAGGCTTAGACATAATGCCTTGCCTGCCTGGCAGTTTAAAAGCAAGGCCTAAAAAAATCAGGCCATTTCCAAGTACCTTTATAACATCCCAGAACAAAACAAAGATCTACTTGCGAGAATACAAAATCTGGCCATCAATGGTGTTTGACATGGAATCAAAAATGGCAGGCATGTAAATAGGCACGAAAATATGAACCGTAATGAGGGAAAAATACTAATCAATTAAAGCTGACCCAGAAGTCATGGGTACAGGATTAGTAGCTCAGTCGTCAGGAAGCTAGAAGGGTTAAGGCATGACCGGGAAAAGGTCTGAGCAGACATTACGGAGAGCAGTGGACACGAAGACTGAGTGTCAGAAACAATCTGAGTGAAAAGTGAGTGGCCTCAGCAAACGGTGAACAACCAGTGGCCTAACAGATGTATTTTGGGTCCTCGAATTCCTTCGGGGAAAGGTCAGAGGCACAGAAAGAATTTTGGAAGAAATAATGGCCAAAATTTGTCCAGACTTGATGACAGCCATAAAGTCACAAACTAAGCAGCCAGACGAACTCTAAAAGCACAAGAAATAAGACACCAAGGAAATTCATGACCGAGTGGCTTATAAAGATAAACACCTTCCCAGTGGGGGTCAGGGGGGCAACACTAGTAAGAGTTTGACAAAGATAAGGATGATAGGTTTCTCATCCGACAAATGCAGCCAGAAGACATCTTCAAAGCTGTGGAGCTAAAGGCACATGCGATCCCCTGTGCTTAGAACAGCTACCGCCGGCAGGACTGGCTATGCCAGGTCCTGGACTCACCCCTGCCGTGGGACGTAATCAATCAGCACTTGGGGAAACAGGAGGTCAGTTTCTTAAACAGCTGAATGTCTCCCCGCTGCATGACCCAGCCTTCCCTCCCTAGGTGTTTACCCAACAGCCATAAAAGCCACGTCCACAGGCGTGTATGTGCATTCACAGCAGGCTAACAGGCTAACACTGGGCACAATTCAGATGCCCACGGACAGAGGAGTGGATAGCCTGCCCTCCAGCCGCAGAGCAGCCCCCCAGCCTCAGAGCGGGGTCCCCAACATGCACACATGCACGCCATCTCCCAGGGGTGGTCAGGAGCTTATAGGAAGGGAGCGCAGTGATGGTAGCACCAAAACCTGCGTCTTCTGGCCAACATGCGCCACGCTCCTGTGGCAGCCACGCTCTGGTGGCAGCCACACTCCTGTGGCAGCCACTGGGACTTCCTCCTGCAGCTCCCCCACATCCTCACCACCTGGGCACTTTTTTTGCCTTTTTTCACATTGGCATTCTGGTGGGTGTGTTTATCACTAAAATATGTTACAGATGCACTGTGTTCATTATGCTTTGTTTACTTCCCAAAATTGAGAAAGTAACTTACTAAAAAAAAAAAAAAGGCAGATTCGATAGCAACAATTCTGTGTAGTTTTTTAAAAGGTGAAATAATAAAGAAAAAAGGTAGTGCATTTTCATGCCAGCAGACTACCTCACGAGGTTGGTAACTGCGACCATTTAGCATAAAACTTGTTTCTGAGACATCGAGCGGCTAATACCAAAGAGGACTGAGCCACAGGCTTTCTCTCTCTAATAAAAACCCTATAAACAGGGACTGCAGATACTGCTCGGCCATGCAGGTCAGAGTTCACCCAAATGGCTGGGCCCCTGGTGAGTGGAAGAACGGGAAGTCGATCTTAGCTGCACACAAGCCAGAAGGTTGAACCACCCAGGCTACGTGACTAGGGCAGCCGGGTCAGATGGCACGTGCCCTTGGCTAGAGGCTTGGGGGTCTGAGGACCACTCAGGAACACAGAAGGGAGTCCTGCTTTGTAGGAGGGGACTCCTTCCAATGGGATCACCCCTCTCCTCTCGCTGTCCAAATTTCAGAGCCCCATGAAGGAGTTTTCCAGTCTCATGCTGTTCCTCTGAGCTATTTTGGTACCATGTACTTAAGAAGTTGTGGCTTTTCTATCATCTCTAAAAAAACGTTTATGTCTGGCGCGCAGACCTCTCCTGCCGCCCGCTGCTCCCCTCAGCAGTGTACTTCGGTCCCTCTGCCTGTTCTGCTCCCCGCTCTGGCTCTGGTGGATTCTCTCACCCTCCCGCACTTCTGACTGTACCCAGTGCTTGTATAAATAAATAAATAAATAAATAAATCTTAAAAAAAAAAAAAGTTTGTGTCTTCCATGGTCCAAAGTAACATGATCCCAATGCTGTCTTTAGTCACTGGACAAAAGAAAAAGGAGGTAAACGCGTGAGCCACGTCAGCTCTTACTGCACTCACTGTAAAGTTCATCTCCTTGATGGGCAGCTTCAGGTGTTCAAACCCCACAATCACTGTGTACTGAGTGTAGTTCAGGTAGCCAAGGTGAGCCACGATGATCTCGGCACATTTCTGCAAATACACGAGCACAAGGAAGATTTGTGTTTTTAGGGCCAGAGACTCTCCCACCCACCAGCCGCAAAGCATTACGTCTAAACCACATGTGATAGGATGGATCCTCTCCAGGGATCTCACCAGGAGCCCAGAAAAATTGAGATCCCAGCCAAAAGCAGTTCTTAGAAAGAAGGAGCCAAATGAGTATTTCTGGACACCAAATGCGTTATGATTTATAGTCATTAGAATCTTGCTACTTTGATTCAAAATAATCTGTCACAAGAAATCAAAGGAGTTAACAACCCAACACACACCTGCATTTACACGACACCCTGCCTGGGGAAAGTGAGCTAAGCACGACTTTCCCTCAGCCCACGTCTGCAGCTGCCCTCACGCTCCCTCCCAACATGCAGGCTTCAAAAGAAGAGCACAGGGTGAGCCCCTGATCGGCCTCCCCAACCAAGTGACCTCAGGCAACACCGCTGACCTCCGGAAGCCTCGCTCTCCAGGCACGGGTGGGCTCTATGGCAGTACCTGCCTGGGGCCGCTGAGGGCCAGGGGGACCAAGCTGGGGGGTCCCTTTCCTGGTCCCACATAATCAAGCGCATGCTCTCCCACGTCCTCCCACGGCGACGCGTGCCCCGGCAAGTCCCGCCGGGCCTCAACGCGATCCTGCATCTGATTCTTCGGATCATGGAGCTGATGAAATCGAGAGAGAGGGCCCCTTTCCTTCTCTGGGCCACCAGGTTTACTACCGCAAGGCTACCCACTGCCCCCCAAAGCTGCTGCCAAAAATAATGGGTCACTCTCCCTCACAGGCCAGGGCCTCAGCGCCCCCAGATGGGTCAGGCCGTTCAGCACACACTGGAAACAACCCAAAGACCCGTGGTCAAGAATGACCTGGAATGGGCCTGCACAGGTGGTCATCGACAGGCACGTTTGGACTCACCAGTCAGTTAGTGGCCAACAGTGGAACCAGGGAGCATCCCTGGGTATGTACAGCTGCTGTGAGTCTGCGCGCACACACATGGGTGTCACCTGCGGTACTTCACAAGGCCCTGGGGCACCTGAGCTTCTGGGCTAGTGTGGATGACTGTGCTCATGGCACACTCACCCCTGCGCACGTGAGGGTCCGGGTCCTGTTGTGCACTTTGTTATGGATGAACATGGTCGTTCCATCCTGAGCAACTCCGTCCACTTTGACAGTCATGGGGAAACTCGTCTGGATCGAAGTTTCTGCAAAAGCAGCAGCTCAGCATCAGGGAGGCTCACCAGAGGCCTGTGTGCCGCCAGGGGCCCCCCACCACAGCAGCCGCAGCCATGGGGACCCTAGGTGCCCACTCAGGCCCTCTGCCCCCCACTCAGGGCCCATGTAAGGCCTGCACTTCAGGGGCACCGACTCCATTTCACACACGGGCAGACGGTCCATGGCTAATGGGATCTTCTTAATTTCCTCGGACATTTGAGTTTAGCTTTTTACCATGATTAAAAGATTATTTATTCCTTCTGATAACATAATTTACTTTTTTCTCTGATATGTTCATTGTTATAAAAACCAGGAAAAAAATACAAAAAAGGCATTAAAATTTTACAATCTCACCACATCAGAGTAAGTTTGTGTCTACCTGTCCAGGCCGCTTTCTAGACAAGCAGACCTGAGTTTTTTTCCATTTAATTTACTGTGGTCATGGACTCAAACTTTTTCTCAACTAAAGTGTCTCTTCTGGACCACAGCACAGAGAAGACAAGGAGGGTGGGCCTCCTCACTCTGGGGCATAACTGTGCCGTCTGGAAGGACAGGGCTAAGTCACCACAAGCAGGACTGCTGCAGGGCTCGGCCTCGGCACCATGGACACTCTGGGACCAGACAGTTCTTGTTGTGGGGTCTTCTTGTGCATCGTGGGCTGCTCAGCTGCATCCCTGGCATCCACCCACAGTCGTGACGATCAAAATGTCACAAGGTCTCAGACACTGTGTTCCTAATGCCTGAGGCATTAGGACTTGATTCTAGCCCAGAGCACCATGGGGAAGGCTGCAGCCACAGTGCCCACACCGGGCAGCCATGGAGCTAAGCTGGCTGGTCCTTCCAATGCTGATTGGTACCCAGTGCTGGCCCAGTACCCCTGAGGGCTGGCCAGTGCTCCTGACCTATAGCCAGTACCCCTAAGAGGTGACCATTACTCCCTGAGGTGACCTATACCCTGAACACTGACCAGTACTCTGAGGGGTGACAAGTACTTCCTCAGCACTGCCTGCAGGGCATTAGAGGGGCTTCCAAACTGTTGCTATTATAAACAATGACCATCCTGTACCTCCACCTTTGAGCACCTGTTTGAAGACTTTAATGCTCTTTCAACCTTTAAAATATGGTGCAAGGGAAAGTCACGCCAGTGTTGCGCTTCCTACCTTTTGATTGTTCCAACTCCACGACACACGTCAGCCACAGCTGCTGATTGTATGTGGACAGCGGATTTGAGACTATGTGAATTGGTTTTAGCTGAGGCAAAAGGGAAGAAAGTTAAGTAAGCACATGGCCTTTTTGCAAATTGATCAAATGCCGCACCTGCACATGCAACTTTACGTTAAGCAAAAATGGCTTGTGCGTCAGCACTGCTCCCAACTACGTGGGCGGAATCCCGCCTTCCTGAGCAGGCAGCCCCCACCCGGAGCCTGGGCACTTCATGCCTAGCAACACACCAAGAAAAAGCCATCTAGGAGAAAAACTTTAGTGTGTAGGGTGACACTAGACTGAGATGACAGTAGCCTCCAAAGAAGCATCTTCACATTCACAAGATGATGTGTCTTAAGCATCATTTCTCCGGCTCCAGGAGACCAGCCATTCCGCCACTGGACGTGAGTTATTTTCAGCTTAGGCAAGTCTTAGTGTCCCCATAGAAAAACTAACGGGGACATGTGGCCAGTGATGGCCCTGCAGTGTTCTCCCAAAAGCAGTGGGCTCCAGAGGAAGCTCAGGTGGCCCCAGGCCAGTATCCTCCAAGTGCACAGAGGACCAGCATCTCGGAAAGGCCTCAACGAGGCCCCTGGGCCCAAGGCTTTCCTAAAAGCCCCAGGATGACCCATGACTGCTCAGAAGTGAGGATGAACTTGCGGGAGCACATAAGCTGGGACGGCTGCCCTCTCTCGAGTCAATAAAGGACTCATATCCCGAGAGAGAAATTTCGGGACCAAACTGCAGTCGGGAACCCCTGGTGTCATCTCTTCAAACCGGACCCTCCACCTGAGAGTTAAATAAAGAAACTCCAAGATCACTTCCACACAGGCCCTTCGAGCCGGAGCAGCCACAAGGAGAGCTACGAGGGAGATGTCTGAGGACGTGTTCCTCCTCCTGCCTTTCTGAGAATTGCAAGGGTAAAAACCAAGCAGGGAGCCGGGACCACAGAGAGAGGGATTCTGGGGTCCACCACACACATAACGGTGCCCGAGAAGCAGGCGCCTGCGTTCAGTTTATAATGAGGGCATTATGTTTGATGCAGCGGAAGACAAGTGTTTGCTTATCTGGACTTTCCCAACTTAGGGTCTGTGAAATACCAATTGGAAAAACCTTTGCTTTTCTCTAAAGATGCTAGAGAATCAAGGCATGGTTAAAAAAAAAAAAAAAGGAAAGAGGAAAGGATCTTTCACTGAAACTGAAGAACCCAGGCAGCTGGGCCCTGCCCGCGGCCACGTCAGGCTCCGGGCACACCAGAGACACACAACCAGGGCAGAACACAGCCCAAGGGAGTCCACAGGCACACGGCATTGGGCGTGTGCAGGACTCAGCCCCTGGGAGGCCGCCCCCCACTTTCCCGGGGCCACCTCCCCTCTGGCGGCAGGAAAGGCAAACGCGGCCAGCAGGGCTTGGGCAGCGGCCGGCAGCGGAGCGGCACACATGTGCTGCCCGGAGAAGAAAGCTCGGGGCAGTGGGCTGGCAGGAGTCTCTGGGCAGGAGCCCCGCTCAGTGACCCGGAAGCTGCCACCGAAATCCAGTCTTACCTTTTTGCCATTATTTAGTGAAAAATTGGCTGCGGACGTTTGGATCACTTTGGGCCCTAGGGGGTAACAGAGAAGGGAAAGGCAGGTTAGTCTGGGATGAGGGTTACTGCTTCTTCTTCCAAATGCTGAGAAAGCCTCATACCTTGTAGGGAGGTTAGTCTTATTTTCCTCGTGTGTCCCTTGAGACTGGGTGTGTGTATGCGGGTAAAACACAAGCTGAGGACGCGGAGGACACACGTGCCCTCTGCTACTCATCACGACTTCCCAGTGAGCACAGGGCCTGCCACACAACGGCTGCGAGGCCGGGGGTCCCGGACGTGGGCAGCCCCGTCCCCGCTGGCGGGCTCTGTGCATGGACCCGAGGACGCACGAATGACGCAGACAATGGCTGGAAGTATTTAAGTTGAGGCTATAAAGACGCATAATACACACTCAAGGCTTTTCCTGAACTAACAAGTGTGGGAGACTCTCACACGCTGTGAGTCATGTTGCAGTTTTATGTCAAAAGCAGCAAAGGACACCTGCGGGATGTGATTCTAACACAACCTGGAGCTGGATTTGTTCTGCAAAGCCCCCCCCCCCCCACACTAGCAAGGCAGCATTCTGGGGGCCACAGTGATCATGCCCGCAGCCAGCGCCCTCCATGTAAACAAGGGGACACCCAGCGTGCACCTCAGCCAGCGGAAGCAACCAGCCACACAGACCCAGTGTGTCCGGGACGTGGCCTGGCCGTCCTAGAAGTGGACAGACAGGGGCCCACTGGACTCTTCCCTGAGCGGGGGAGCAGGAAAATCTTCGCGAAGTGAACGGAAATGTATGAATCATTAAAACGAAGAATCACAGCCCCTCACCAGTGTCCAGACATGACCCACCAGAGATCCAAAACCCCTGGATGAAGGGAGTCCCCTAAGCGAGCACCCCAGTACACTGCCGAAGATCCACATTGTTACTCATTCTCCCACAGGGACCTGCAGCCTGCTAGAGAGAGAACTGTGCAAATAATCAGATGCTAGGGAGCCTCTGGGCAGACACAGACTGCAGGACACCCCAAACGTCACTGTGTCCACCGGCCAGAAGGGGGCAGTCAGGTGACCAAAGGCCTCCCAGCTCAGGCACAGGGGGCCACAGGCCCAATGGGGCCCAAACCCACCCAAAGGTTAATTCCACAGCTCCAGACTGTGCGACTGGAACAGACATTCCAGCAGCTGGCAGAATCCCACCCTGGCCCCCCGACTCAGGGCTGCCTGGGGGGACAGGGCACGTGGGAACAGTGAGTGCTGCTTCTACCCAGGACAGCAGTAACTAAAGCAACCCCACAGTACTGCAGGACATGGTATCAGTGCCACATCAAGGATGGAAGCACCCCCAGGACGGCCCCACTCCGACCTGCCAGATGGATCCGGGAAAAAGACCGTGGACGGTCACTGTCCCAGCCAGGTGCTGCTCCAGCCGCACTGCACCCCCATCTGGGTTTCACAGTTTGAGCAAATCTACGCTCCTCTGCTGCCTGACACAGGCCCCCGATGGGGCATGGCCCACCCCAGCCCTGACCACAGACCCCCAGCAGCACCCGGCTTCCAGCCAGCAAGGTCAGCAATGTCCTTCGCGGGGCCACCCGGGCAGGTGCTCTCCAGCCCCTGGCTCTGCTCAGCTCACATGTGCTCCAGCACCTGCCAAGGTCAGCGTGACAGTCCCACGATGGTGCTGCGCTGACAGGCCCCGCAGGTGAGGAGCAGCAATACAGCCTACTAGTGAGGCACTCAGTGTTGGCGCGGGAAACAGCCCGATCACCCTCACAGGCCTTGGACCTTGGAGAAAATTCTGGGGCCCAGTGGTGTGTCCAGGGGTGAAGAATGAATTATTGCATTTGGCTCCTCCAGCAACCAGAGCCCAGGCACAGGCCTGGTGGATTTGGGAGGCAACAATGTTCCCCATCAGCAGTGACTCTTCTATTTACCCAGTGACCCAGAGCGCTGGTCTTGCATGGGGCCCAGAACCAGAGGATGCTGCACAGGCCCAGCTGCGGGTCAGCTGCTCTGCGCAGGCACCCTGACCCACAGGGCCTGGGTGGCAGAGGCGGGGGGCGGGGGTTGGGAGTGGCCTATGGGGAGTAGGGCCCAGCTGCAAGCAACGCCCTGCTTCTCACAGGTAATGTGTCTCCTTTCGAGAACAGCCCTGACCCACCTCTGGGCCTCATTGTCTCAACCTGGGAGCCCAGGGCACCGCGTGACCTGAGCTGCCCGTCACGAGCCTGCTCACCTGCCATCAAGCCAGAGGGAAGTGTGCGCAGGGGCCTGGAAGCAGCTTCCAGGCGATGGGCCTGAGCAGGAAGTTAGGGGAGAAGAGACCCAAAGCCCGTGGCCCCCCTCCAGCGACACCATATTCTCTCAGCACACCGCCGACTTACCTTTGATCCCAATGAAGACAGTCAGGCCGAAACACACGAAGAAGACGACGAACACGAGGACGAAGTGGCGCTTGGACAGCGTGTACAGGCGCATGGGCGCCAGCCTGCGGACAGAGGCAGGGGTGAGGCTGCGGGTCCGCCGGAAGCCCTCCCCACCGCCCAGCCCGCCCCTGGAAGGCGCCTGTGCTGAAACCAGGGGACCTGCCTGACAACAGTCTCTGAGGCCTCGGGGACCACCGCGGGGGACCAGCACTGGGGCTGGCCTGGGTCGGGTGCTCTGCAGAGAGGGCCCAGTCACAGTGGCCGCACAGGTCCCAGCCCGCACCCGCAGCAGGAACAAGGAGCATGGTGGCTTCCCTGCCCACTCAGGCCCATGTCACCACACCCGTGCATGGGGTGGACGGCCTGTCCACACCCTGCCTTCAGTGGCCAGAGTGGCCCCAGGAGCGCAGACGGGGATGCACACCCGGCTCTGACTGTGAGTGGGCAGCACCAAGCCCGACCCGCAATTCTCTGTCCGGCGTCCCCACCGGCCCAGGGTGCTGACTCGGGTCCAGGGTCCCTCATAATCTCAGCCCTGTTGTGGGGGTCTGGTTCTGATGCCACCGACACATGGCTGACAGTTTGCTGTGACTGACACCTCTATGGAAACCCATCCTTCTAACAGCCCGCGTCAGCGCTAACCTCTTCACCCTCATGTTCTCCTTTGGGCAGAAGAAAACAGTGGTGGGGCTAAGGCGGTTGCTCTTTGACCCACTACGTCAGGACCACCAAGCAAAAGAAAAATGTGTAAAGGACCTGAGGTTAGACTTTTGTGGCGGGTCAGCGTTTGTCCAAAGCCCTCAAGGCCATCTCTATAAACAGCCCCGACAGCGAGTAAATGCAGGAGCAGGTGGGCCCAATGAACCCAAAGAGATGGGGGGGAGAGACATTTTGTTTTGCTTTGCTTTTCACATTCTTTTCATTCCCCGAGCATTTCCTAGCTTTGGGAGCTGAGAGCAGGGAGAAATCTGACTTTCTGGTGCCTCCTGGCAGGTGGGCACCCCCACCCCTACCAGGGGTGAAACAGGCTTTGAACTGGAAACAGAGGGAAAGGTTGTTTGCTTGTGTGGACGGAAGTTCACATGGTGCAGGGCACACCCGTCCCCTCCCCGCAGCAGGCAAAGATTCCAGCTCCTGAGCAGGAGATCAGCTGGACAGTATCTCAGGGCAAAGGTGGGGCCGTGCGCCGCCCTCCCCTGAGGTGCTGACGTGGCTTTGCTGATAAGAGTCCGCTCTCTCCAGCAGGACCGATGAGGCTCAGGTGGCGTGAACTTTCCAATCCGTGTCACTGAGTCTCACAGAATAACAGAACTGGCGAAGCAGCGAGAGAATGAGCGCCCCATCTCTTCCTCTGGGACTCAGGACCAAACACTGAAGCACAAATAACCCTGCGCCGTGTGGCAGGAAAGCTAGTGACGGGAGTGCCCGATCCCAACCTGGATTTTGGACCCAAAAGATTATGAACTTGAGAGCCCAGGGCCTCTCTGAAGCCAGAGGGCTTCTTCTCAGGAACTACAGGAAAGAGGACACTGTCTTTGCACTTGCCCTCGCCTCACTATAGCTCACCAATACCTCCCAGAAAGGAGCTCACCAATACCTCCCAGATTTTCCTGCAGCTGCCCCCAAGGGGACACCTCCATATTGCCAGTTCTGGAGGCCAGCCCAGGACCACACATATTAGCAAACTATAAAAGCTGATACCTGAGGGCCTGCTGTCCAATCAGTCTAAAACTAGATGCTAAAAGAGTTCACCCCTTGCTACAGTGACAACCCTCAACAGGGCCTGTGAGGAATAAACCAGGCTGCCTAGACAGCCAGCCACAAAGGGTGCAAAGGCTAACAAATAAATAGGGCAAAATTGAACAACAAGGTCCAATAGCTATGGAAGATCACTCTTTCAAGACTGAGAATGACAGCGGTTTCTCTTGATACATAGAAACAAACAGAGAGGAAGTGAAATGAGGAACCTGAGAACTTTGTTCCAAATGAAAGAACAAGATAAACCTTCAGAAAAAGATCTTATGAAATGAAAGGGAGACAAGTAGACCGCCAGATAAAGAACTGAAAGTAATGGTTAGAAAGATGTTCACTGAACTAGAGAGAATACACACAGTGAGAAGTTTAACTGAGACAGGGGATATAAAAGAGCGCCAAGCAAAAGTCCCAGACCTGAAGAATACAATAGCCAGCCTGAAAAATTCAATAGAGGGACTGAACCACAGCGAGGTGAGGCAGAAAAATGGATCCACAGGCTCAAAAAAAGAGCAGAGGATCTCATCCAAACAGCAGCAAAAAGAAAAGATTTTTTTTTTAAAGATTTATTTATTTATGCATACAAGACCTGGGGTACAGGTCAGAGGTATGGGGGTGAGAGGATTCACCAGAGAGAGTGGGGAGCAGAACAGGCAGATTGACTGGAATACACTGCTGAGGGGAGCAGCAGGCGAGACAGGAGAGGTCTGCTGCACCATATGGGTTGCTCCCTGGCCGGCCGGGGAGTTGAACTCATGCTGCAGAGGCTGCGGACAGCTTGATAGGTTGCATCTTAACCCCTTGTGCCACCAGGGAGGCCTGACAAAAATTTTTGATAAGTGAAGATAGCGTCATTTAAGGAGCATGCAGGACAGCAAGTAGTCTAACAGTCACATTACCGTGGTCCCAGAGGGAGGAGAGTGAGCGGAAAAGGGGTAGAAAATGTATTTGAAGAAATAATGTCTGGAAACTTCCCTAACCTGAGGAAGGCAACAAACATCCAAATCAAGGGAGCATAGACAGTTCCAAAAAAAAGATAAAACAGTTCCAAAAAAAAGATAAACACAATGAGAATCACACTAATACATTATAACTAAAATGTCAGAAGTTAAAGAAAAAGACTCTTAAAGGCAGCAGCAAGAGAAAACCAAGGTGTTAAATACAAGGGAGCTCCCATACCTATCCCATAAGACTACCAGCAGATTTTCAGCAGAAACTCTGCTGACCACAAGGGAATGACATTCAGAAAGGTGACAGGAAAAAACTTCCAACCAAGAATTCCCTACCTATCAAAATCAGCAGTCAAAACTGAAGGAGAGATAATTTTCCAGACAAGTAAAAACTAAAAGAGATCATAACCACAAATCAGCCTTACACGAAATATTCAAGGGACAGATGTAAACTGAAGTGTCACAAACAATAAGAAAACAAATGAAAGAAAAAGAATCTCACTGGGCCTCCCTGATGGTGGAAGCACTGTGAAGCTGTCCACAGCCACTGCAGCACAAGTTTGATCTCCAGTCAGCCAGGGAGATAACCACATGGTGGGGCAGATCGCTCCTGTCTCCGCTGCAGCTCCCCTCAGCAGTGCATTTCAGTCAGTCTGCCTGTTCTGTTCCCTGCTCTGTCTCTGGTGAATCCTTTCTCCCCCTGTACCTCTGGTTTGTATTCCAGTTCTTTTTTTTTAATTATTTTTAAAAGATTTATTTATTTATGCATACAACATTTATTTTATGCATTTATGCATACACGATTTATTTATTTATGCATTGATTTATTTATTTATGGGGTACAGGCCAGAGATGTGGGGGGTGAGAGGATTCACCACAGAGTAGGGGACAGGCAGATTGACTAAAATACACTGCTGAGGGGAGCAGTGGGTGAGTCAGGGGAGATCTGCTGCGCCATGTGGGTCTCCTTCCTGGCTGGCTGGGGATCGAACTCGTGCTGCAGTGGCTGCAGATAGCTTCATAGGCCGCATCTTAACCCCTTGCACCACTGGGGAGGCCCGCACTCCAGTTCTTGTATACATAAATAAATAAATCTTTAAAAAAAGAAAAGAAAAACTCACTGATTAAAGTTAATATATAGTAAAGGGATCAGTGAAACAAGAGGATATAACAGTTGTATATATTTATGCACCCAACATAAGAGTACCTATATACATAAAACAAATACCTATATACATAAAGGACAAATTGACAGAACAGAGTAATAGTAGGATACTTTAATAGCCCACTTAACATCAATGGACAGATCATCCAAACAGGAAAACACAGACCTTAAAGAAATATCAGTGCAGACAGATTACTTACACACACACAGAGAGTGAGAGAGAGTGAGAGAGAGAGAGAGAGAGATATTCCATGCCAGAGCAGCAAACTACAGTCTTCTCAAGTGAACATGGAACATTATCCAGAATAGATCATAAGTTGACCACAAAATAAGTCACAATAAATTCTAGGAGGCTGAGATCACATCAACCATCTTTTCCAACCATAACAGTGCAAAAGCTGAAAATCAATTACAAGAAGAAAGACAGAAAAATCACAAGTATGTGGAGATTTAATGACATGCTAGCAAACAACTACTGGGTCAATGAAGACTTCAGAAAGTACCTTGAGACAAATGAAAATGGAAATTCAACATATCAAAATCTATGGGATCCAGAAAAAACAGTTCTAAGAAGGAACTACATAGTGATAAAGACCTACTTCAAGAAACAAAAACAAAAAAATCTCAAATTAACAACCTAGCCTTACACCTAAAGGAACTAGAAAAAGAAAACAAAAGAAGACCAAAGTTAATAGAAGAAATAGGATCATACTAGAAATAAAAGAAATGGAGACTTAAAAGACAACAGAAAAGATCAATAAAACTAAGAGCTAATTTGAAAAGATGAACAAAATTGACAAAACCTTAGCTAGATTCACCAAAAGAGACTCAAATGAGTGAAGTCAGAAATGAAAGAGATAGTACAACAGGTACCACAGAAATGCAAAAGATCATAAAACACTCTGAGCAATGATATGCCAGTAAATGGGACAATCTAGAAGAAATATATAAATTCCTAGAAACTTACAATCTTCCAAGACTGAATCACAAGAAAATAGAAAATCTGAAAGGATCACTTCTAGGCCTTTTGGCTAAGATCAAGTGCAGAAAATCTGAATAGGTTAAGTAAGGAGAGTGAATCAGTAATCAAATGCCTCCCCTAAAATGGAAGCCCAGGACCTTACAGCTTCATTGGGGAGTTCTACTGCAAATTCAGAGATTTCATACCTACCCTTTTAAAAATTCTTCCACTTTC